TTTTTTTTTTTTTTTTGTTTTATTTGTAACAATTACCTATTTTAGATATTTACAATGAAAGACTGATATTTTATTTTATTCCAAATTTAAATTTGATTGATTTTTGTATAATATAAATTTATGATATCTTTATGAGAGTATCCTTTTTTAAGATAGCTAGAAATGTATATTATACTTGCTGTGTATTCTTACCAAAGTTATTATATTGATCGTGTTTTTTCATCCAAGGAGGAGCAGACCAAGCAGATGTCTCGAAACGTAACGATGGACTGAGGTCTAAAGCTTGCTTCATTAATGGCATTTTATAAACAAAATCTTCCTTAGCTAACATAAAGTTTTCAAGTTCAGTATCACCAGGACTGTCATCATAAGTGTAAGGACGTGTAGAAAAATCAGTTCCAGCTATTGGTACGCGTCCAAGGTTATACTTAATCCCATCATTACTGAAGTAAGATCTAGATCATTGATATCAGTTATGACAAAGTTTGATAAATGAATTATTATGAAAAATTGTATAAGTTGTAGTATTAAAAATTGGGGACTATAAAATTCTAGTATTCAATATACGTTACTTCATTATGTGATCTTGACATCCTTTACTAAGCTTTTTAATATTAATTCCTGCTGAATCTGTGAACGCTCCACCGAAGCCTTCTATACTTTGATGCTGAGTATTAGAATCAATTTTTATGTTGTAGGTATTTTCAGCGTGATTTGAAATGATTCCACCAAAGCGCTTTAATCGTTCACCACTTTTACTCGAAACATACCAAATAAACTCGCCTTTTTTGGGCGATGCAGGATCAGAGTAATAATCACAATATGTAGAGTTACACTGACATACTGTAGAATCACTTCCAAAATCTACTGGTATACAATCTTGAGCTAACACTAAAATTTTATCAATATTAAAGAGTTAAATTTCTTATTCTGTTAAAAATATTTCTTTCACCTTAAATAAATAGCATAAATATAATAGTACAAAATAACTTTACCTATTAATATCACCGAAAAAATAGTTCCAATAAACTTGAACATCATGAAAGTTTTAAACAACCGGTACCTAAGTACTATTTTTCATTTTACAAAACCTTGCTACTCAGTGTAATTAGTCAAAAATTAATAATATTAAATGATTTTATTTTCATAATTTTATAATTTGAAACTTAAAATATCAAGTAGAATATCGATCACCGATTAAATAAATATGCTTCTGATAGAATACAGAATTAATTCAATGAGTTGTGCAAAGAAATATTTGTTGAAGCAACAATAAATATTGAAGTGGGGCAAACCGGGCCAGTGTCATCCTTTTATATGTTCCACTATCTAATAGCATAAATACTCTTAGGTCATGAAATAATTCATTTAATAAAGAAGTTACGCAGTAACACCTTAAAATGAAAAAAAAAAGTTATGAAAGCGTATTCATGTGATAATTTTAAAATTGATGTAACATATTTACATAATACCACTTATTTTTGCCTCATTTAATAAGAAAACCAATTATACAACTTCTAGAGTTTTTATACTTTTTTCTGAGCAATTAAAAATAATTGAATATCATTTAATTTCGATGAATTACATAACGTAACATGCGTTTATTTTAAATAACGAATAGCACAAATGTAAACAGCAGTATTTATTAATAACTGATAAGATATAAATATAATGTTACTAATACGTAGTTCAGATTTTGCTCGAACATTACATTTTTATATTTTGCTTTTAAAATAAAAAATTGGACGTATAATACGTGTTTATATCTAACCTGAACAGAATTCGAGTTTATAGAATTGTTTAAAGAAATCCGAGTTTTAAGGTGGTCTTTAAAAAAATTTTTAACTCTGTGACTGCCTTTAAAGCAAAGTCAAGCTTTTTTGAGTTTCCACAAAGAATCTGACATTACTGTAGATTTGAGAGGGTTGTCGAGAAATTTTTATTGTTCACAAAAAATTATTGAAAAAACTAGCATATACTATGGTACTCAAAATAACCCATTTAAATTTTAGAAAGCCTAGCTTTACAGTTTTAAAAATAATAAATCGCAAATTTTTGTGATTATACAGAGGCTTTTATAGAAAGGTCGTAGCAAAATTTTTGTTACGACCACATTTTTTCTTGTTGCTTCGTAAATTTTTTAAAGAATACTATGAAAAAAGAATAAGTTGAATTTAATAATGATTAAGATTTTTGTAATAAAATTGGTTTGTAAGTTTTACTGCTATACTTTGTCAAGCTCTGTTATGGTCTTCAGAGTAAATTCGGTTTCTATCGTATCGTTGAAAAATACATCGTGACTTAACTCTAAAATCATCTCCACGCATAATACTGCTCGGTAGTTGTAGTCAGTTTTAATAGTAATGTGTTCTGATGTTAAGACATTCAGGAAATAAATATTTTAATTGGTGCGCATGTCCATCTGCTGACTTATTATTTCATCTATCTTCACAAGATATATATTATATACGAACAGAAAAACTGATGTCATTCAACGTATGTGAACTAATTTCATAGTGATATACTTCATGGATCTGTTGCACTAAATTAAGCACCTGCAAAAAAATTTTTATAAAAAATTTGTTTTCTAATTTAAAAATGATTAACATAACATTAGTTACATAAAGATAAAGTGTTTGTATTTTTTTTTTTTACCTATACATGATTCTGTCATCAAAATATATTTATCAGGAACTTGTTCATGTGTATAATCAAGAGGTGCAGGCGAAATAACGTAATCGGCATACCAATGCACAGCAATGCCTGTTACGTACTTCATACTTTCTGGATATTTGTTTATAATCGCAGAGATATAGTATGCCAATGCCAGTCTTTGATCGTCATACAGTAACACTCCCGTATTGTTAAAGCGGGACTTTTTTAAAGTAGGCCCTAAATTATTTACAACCCACTTAGCTTCGGCTGCAGGTGACCAGTACATGCTATTAATATTACTGTTTGGTAATAAAGGAGTTAGTGGCTCATTTCCAGTTGAAAGAGTCCACATATCAAATCCATTCTTTNAAAAAATCGTTTTACTAGGGCACAGATTTATTAAATTTTCCATTTTCAATACTCTTTAGTATATTTGCATTTATATTACAAATGGTACATTTGATCACTTATTTTTGTACAACAAAGTATGTAAAGAATATTCTGGCATCTCTATATTTATATAACCAACTTTTTCATCTGCAATAGTAATATTTTTCTTTTGATCAGATCTGGAAAAAAAAGGTTATCAATAAGGGCTGTTATAGTTGCGATGTTCTATGATAAAAAATAGGAAATTTACTCATTATATAAGAGAACTCTAATTTCGTTGTTGGGGGTTTTAAATGCCAATGATAGAACAGATTTGTCTGCGGAGTTTGTATGAATTCTAACTGAAGATCTGGGCACAAATTTACTAAAGTGTGCCAGAGCATAGAACATAGGTTGTTTGTAAAACACATCTTTCTCTGCGTCAACGATAATCATAGCATCAACATAATTTTGTACCCAGTTGGGTCCTCCTGTAGTATCAAGTGCAAGATTCCAGTCAATCCATCCTACAACCCAATGACTAAGGTTCTGAAAAAATGCTAATACTATTAATTTTTTATTTTTATATCTCGTAGTTATGCGAAATATATTGATATGTTCCATAACACACTTCAAATAATTTTTTCACTAATCTGTCAGCTCGAGACCATGATCCCAATTGAACTTTTGGATGCTCCCAAGGACGATCACCTTACAATCATTGATATAATCACATTAATATTTTTATTTGTATAGACATAAGTATAATTTTTTACTGTTCAAAAAATAAATGTAATATTGACAAAAAATTAAATTAAATGTAATTATGTAATTTACCTACACTAAATTCCGTCATTAGGAGGAATTTATCGGGAAATTCATCATGGGTTACGTCAAGTACAAAAGCAGGAAAATATTCGTCCGTATACCAATGAACAGCAATACCAGATACATATTTCAAAGCACCAGGATTATGCCTTCTCATGTTAATCATATACCAAGGTAAAGCGACTCTTTGGTCGTCCAAAACAAGTATTTGGGTATTGTTACTCGTTGACTGTTGTAAAGTTGGTCCAAGATTTTCTTGTATCCACACGGATACAGTGCGAGATGACCAAAACATAGTATTAATATGACTAATGGGCACCAATGATGTAAAGGGCTCATTTCCGGTCGATACAGCCCATATTTCTAGCCCATTATTTTTGTACGCTTCCAAGAACTTTACAATGTAGTTGGCATAGGTCTGGTAGTAATCATCCAGTAAATAGCCTAATTTAAAGTTTTGCAACAATGTAACTTAAAAACTTTTTTTTTACAATCTTTCGTTTTAATTAAAAATTTAATAACTACCAAACCCATTGTATTCCTTATTACTTTTCATCCACGGTGGAGCAGTCCAAGAGGCTGATACTAATCGCAGTGATGGATTTAGTTCTAAAGCTTGTTTTATTATTGGAATTTTGTATTCAAAATCCTCGTTAGATAACGTGAAATTGGTCAAGTTAACGTCACCATGTACATCGTCATAAGTATATGGTCTTGTTGAAAAATCAGTACCAGCTATGGGCACTCGACCAAAATTATATTTGCTTCCATCCACACCGAAGTAAGATCTGTAATACAGTAAAAACTTTCAATTCAGAAGTAAGCATCTAATTTTTTCATTTACCTTATTAAATTATCTTGAGATCCTTTACTAAGTTTTTTTATATTAATACCAGCTGCATCAGTAAATGCTCCTCCAAAACCTTCAATAGCTTGATATTGAATGTTGGAATTAATATTTATTACGTGACTATTTTTGGCCTTATTTAAAATATTTCCTTCACTGCGACTTAATCTTTTACCACCTTTGCTTGTAACATACGAAATGAACTCATCCGAGTTTAGTGGTTTTGAATCAGAATAATAATCACAATATGTGGCGTTGCACTCACATACTATACTGTCTCCCCAAAAATCAACGGGCTTACAGTCTTGAGCTAGTGCTGCAAAAAATGTATACTCTTCATTATAGTAGAATTTAAATTATTCTCTTACATTGACTACATTTCAAAGTTTTTTTTACATTGCATTTTAAAACTTTCATACCTGTTGAAAGAGCAGAAGCAATGAACAAGATTTTGGTCGCAGTTCTTAACATTTTTTACTTTACACTACTTTAGAAGACTAGGATGACTTGCACGATCTGCTTCTAAAAATAAAAATATTGCTTTTATTGTTTATTTTAAATAACGAATAGCACAAATGTAAACAGCAGTATTTATTAATAACTGATAAGATATAAATATAATGTTACTAATACGTAGTTCAGATTTTGCTCGAACATTACATTTTTATATTTTGCTTTTAAAATAAAAAATTGGACGTATAATACGTGTTTATATCTAACCTGAACAGAATTCGAGTTTATAGAATTGTTTAAAGAAATCCGAGTTNTTTTTTTTTTTTTTTTTTTACGTATTTACATGTCTTGTACAGCACAAATCGTAGTTTCCGTTTGGACTATAAAATATTGCAAACATTATATAACACTCATTTTCGGTCAATGTAACAAAAAAATTTTTAGCATGTGAAATTACTTACTGGTTTTCTTTCGTATAACTAAAAAATTTATCAATAACACAGTTTACCTATTATAGATTTAATTTTAAAAGTAAATAATACAAGAGAATTGTCTATTTTAGTACATTAGTTTTTTTAGTATATTATACTACGCTTATACAGAAAAAGTTTCAGATAAATTTTATAGATGATAAGCTTTATTTTGTTAAATGTATATGAAATAAATTAAGATCAATCCTGGAACAAACTTAAAATTCAACTAATCATATAAAACGTAGATAACGCCCCAGATCTAAAAATATTAAACAAATGTCACTAGTTCTCCAGTAAATATATTTTTGATTTCCTGTTACAGTTGGACACTAATCTGAAACAAAATTATTAATTAATGTAACAAGTATATAATTAATAAGGTAGTTACAGATTGTTGATCAATGAACAAGATTAGAAAACAATCAAACATTTAATTTAACGATACCGGAAGTTATACGCATGTACTAGTGACCCATCTTGTACTAGCAAACAACTTAATATTTAAAAACTACTGTAAAATTAGTATGCATTATGATAATTTTTTTTTTCACCATCTATTACGGTTGTACAAACAGACAACGCCGTCCCAAAGACAAAAGCCACCAAACTCTTTCGGACTTCCTCCAGGAACACCATCAGCTCCTCCAAGTGCTCCACCTTATTCACAAGTTCCTACAGCTTTTGGTATGACTCAAACACCCACACCGTATCCAAACGCTCATCCATCACAACCAACTCCTTACTCCAACGCACCTCAACCTTTTATGCCTCAGCCTGAGTTTATAAATAGAATGTGAGTAAGCTTTGGTACAACAACCTGCGCAGACTTTAACGTACGCAGACACAATAGTGACGCAATGAATAAATGTATTGTCATAAGCACGTGCACCAAACTTGAGTAATCTGTTGATGCGCCTTCTAGTTTCTACAACGAAAGATGAAAAAGTATGTATTTTTTCTCACGTCGTGTAGCTAATAGTCTACGTCACAACTGATCGTTCTATGACGCAGTTCGTATACGCGTGAGTCATCGACGCAACGTTTATTTGTTTTTCTTTTTTTTTTTTTAAAGCTGCGCCCATGTGGGAAACGCTTGATGTTGATAAATAAAATACTAACTTTTAGAAATTATTTTTATTAATTATCTTATAAGCTGACGTTTNTCTTATCATAAAAGTAAGCTTAGCCATCAGATATAATATTTTAATGCAATCAAAAGGCTAAAAAATACGTGGTAATTATTACTATCTTTGATAAATAAAAAAATAATTTTTTAAATCCATGCAATCTTGATAATAATAATACACATAATTATTGTTGATTTTATTTATTTAGAAAAAATAAGTTATCTTTCTTTCGGTAAATCTTATTTTTTTTCTTCCAAACAATTTACTTCCTTTTTTCTAAATTATTCCTCTCTATTTACCTTCAGAAATTATACATTGTAATAGTGGCATAGATTATATCTCTCTTTCCTCTTCTAGTTATCTTCTTCGTGACGGCCGAGATTCGCTTCCTCTATTGCTTCACTACAATACCAATTGCCGGCAAAACTGTTTGACGTGTCCTGAATCATCACCAAACTCTCACACTATACGATCTGCACATTTAAAATAATCTACTACAGTTTTCACTGAGACGCACAACGGGCAACTAATACATAATACAGAAGTTTTGTGCTCACAGACAACGTTGGTATGTGACACCTGCAATAAAATACTCAATTACATATCTCCTTTTATTACACACTTGCTTCTTTTACAACTGATAAAATAGAACTTTACGAGTGAACACACGTACATATCTGTGTAAAATGTGTGTGTGTGTGTGTCAGAATCCCCCACTTTTTCTGTTCTGACACAATCTTATATTTAGAAAGTACACGTATTGGAAGTCACGTAGTTGACAGGCAGTGTCTCTTCAGTTATACACTAACGTGCCACGTACAGCAGTCGCTTACAGCTTTGCTTTAAATTATTGAAAGCTTCGTTTCTCCAACTGTATTTGCCATTGACCCAGAGAACGCTCTTAGAACTGAACGTTGTTTCATTTGTAAGTAACAGAATGCCTTTTTTACTTTGAAAAGTTAAAAAAAAATTTTTTTTCATTAGGTTTCAATGTAAAATTCTTTTTTTGCTTCGTCTGAAAATAAAATTTACCGTAATTTGAAATAAATTTTAATGCAGGTGTGTGTGCTTGAAAGTATATGAAACAATTTTGTAATTTAATTTTTTGTTCGTTCTCGGACAGTTGTATTGCTCCTCATTGTGTGCTCTTTCGACGATTACAGCCACAGAAGTGTGAGATCATTTGAATGTATTTGTATGAATGTATGTGTAAGCGCATTGCGAAACTATACAACTTTTCTGCCAGTGACTAGCTGCTACGTTGTACATTGAACAATTCTTTATAAATTTTTGTTTGTCTTTTTTTTTCTAAACTTGTTTTTTCCGGTAATTTTTTTTGTCTTGATACATTTTTTCAAATGTACTTCAATAGATAAATATAACGATAAATGATACAAAATAAACAAGAGTACACGTTTCATGGTAATAAAGTACTTTGATATAAATTTGTTTTTTCAGATTATTTCGAACTGCAGCCAATATAAGTGATAAAACTATTAACATGAGTTACGGATATCCAGTGAGTGTATCTTTTTTTTTTTATTTGCATGAAAATCTTTCATGGCAACTTATTTCCCTTTCATTTGCCAATGCTTGAGTTCCTGATTATTAAATATCAATATCAAACGTTAAAAAAATGTACAGCATATTCATTTATAATTTTTTATTTCAACCAAAAAATAACTTTTAATGATGTACATCATTTATACACCGTATGTTATCCAATATAATCTTTTTTTGTTTTAAATAACAACAATAAATAATCTGGTATTTTAAGTATACTCAATAGATGAATCGTAAGTAATTTGATACATAAACAGTAAAAGCTTGCCATGAAAGACACAGCTTTCTCTATAAGTCGGAAACATTTAAACTTAAGCAACTGATTTTTTTTTAGTACATATGGTTTATGAACACTATATTAATGACTAACTCGGTAGAAATAAAAAAATTAAAAAGTTTATAACTAATATTAAATATTTAACTAACGAAAACAATCAATAATTGACTTAAAATAGTATTTTTGAGCAATAATAAGAGTTTTGCTGATTGATCAAAATAAATGTATGCTGAAGGATTACTTAATATTTACTTATAAGAGATTTAAAGAGTAACATATCTGTATAGTAGTGGTAACAATTAGTTTATATTATAATGTTTATGCTTAATTCCACAATCCAATCACGTTGAATAAACAGGGCACACCATTCCAAAGTCAAACGCCACCAAACTCTTTCGGACTTCCTCCAGGAACACCATCAGCTCCTCCAAGTGCTCCACCTTATTCACAAGTTCCTACAGCTTTTGGTATGACTCAAACACCCACACCGTATCCAAACGCTCATCCATCACAACCAACTCCTTACTCCAACGCACCTCAACCTTTTATGCCTCAGCCTTCCATGCCTCAAGCCCATTCAGGTCAAGCTTATTCATCTAACCAACCATACCCATTACCACAGCCACATCAACATCAGCCATATCCATCACAGCCACCTCAACACCAGCCATATCCATCACAGCCACCTCAACACCAACCATATCCAGCACAGCCACCTCAGACTCAATCATCCCTGCCATCTCAGAATCAACCATATTCATCTCAACAATACATGCAAAATCATTGTGGCTTAGCCCAAGGTTTGTATCCAAATTTGGGTACCCCAGGAATATCTGATCCCTCCCGTCCTATGCACGGTAACAGTTTTCCTCACCAGGGTGGAGCCTATTCGGGGGGTCAGGGTAGTGGTGGGAGCTTTAGCTACGGAGGACATGTACCACATATTCCACAGGCCCCTCGAATGGGGCCCCAAACTNTCGAATGAGGTCCCAAACTAAGGTGAGACTTACGTGTTGTAAAAAAACAAGTTATTCCCCAGTAACCACAAATTGCAAAAGAGACTAATGATGAAAACGTAAGAAATGGTGACTATAATTGTGCATGCAATAGTAAAATTTGAGTAATCAAGTATTCATAGCATCTTGATCTATGATGGTAAATGGTGAAAATTATGTTTGTTAAATACATCGTTAAATAATTATTTGTACCACTTTTAAAAAATTTTAAGTTTAAGATTAGTATCCATTACTTTTCTAGACATCTTTGTGTTTATTGGGACGCAATTTCGTGGTACCCAAGCATTTTACACTTCATTTTGATTTTCTTTTATAGCTTTCCCCAACTGTAGTTCCTAATGATCCTTTTAACCCAACCCAAGATGCGGAGATTTTGCGGAAAGCTATGAAAGGCTGGGGAACAGATGAGAAATCCATCATTCAAGTACTGGCACACCGTCCTAATTTACAACGTTTGGAAATCGCAGCCCAGTTTAAAACTTTATATGGCAAGGTATGATTATTTTTTGGGTGTTATTACACCGTATGTATAATTCATGGCCTTATAAAATATACTATTATGTTTTATAGGATCTGGTTGAAGATTTAAAATCTGAAACATCTGGTAACTTTGAAAATCTGTTAGTTGCAATGATGACACCTTTACCACAGTATTATGCGAAGGAGTTATACGATGCCATGAGTGGAGTTGGTACTGATGAGACTGTTTTGATTGAAGTATTATGTACTATGTCAAATCATCAAATCAACGTAATTAAACAGGCATATGAAGCTTGTGAGTTGCATATTAGTATGATCTTTTTTTTCTCTAACTTTTTTAATCGTCAAAAGTAAACTTAATATTTATGTTTTAGTGTTCGGAAATTCGTTAGAGAATGAGTTAATGGCAGATACTTCTGGAAGTTTTAAACGTTTAATGGTGTCTCTATGCTGTGGCAACAGAGATGAGTCATTTGATATTGATCCAGTAGGTGCTGTTGAAGACGCAAGGAAACTACTTCAAGCAGGTAGGATTAAGATCAACAAAATGTGAAATTTTTTTAGTCAGCAAAATAAATTTTAATTATTATATTTAATTTTTTATTACAGGAGAAATTCGTTTTGGTACCGATGAGTCGGCATTTAACGCGATTCTCGTCCAAAGGAATATCCCTCAATTACATATGATTTTTAATGAGTATCAGAACATAACTGGCCACGACATCGAGGAAGCTATTAAAAATGAGTTTTCGGGTGATATTGAGAAAGGCTTACTTGCCATTGGTAAACAAATATTTTTAACCAAATGAATCTTAAAACTAGTACAATATGTTAATTCATGTTTCTCATAAATGTTATTAATTTAGTTAAGTGTGTGAAGAACAGAGCAGGGTTCTTTGCGGAACAAATACACAAGAGCATGAAGGGCATGGGCACCGAAGATAGACGTCTTATAAGATTAATTGTTACGAGATCTGAAGTTGATATGGGAGAAATAATGGAGGCTTATCAACAGCAGTATGGCAAATCTTTGGTTGAAGCTATCTCTGTAAGATATTAAACGGCAATAATTAATTTATTAGTCATGAAATTTATTTTAACAATGTTTAATTTTATTCTTTTCAGGATGATTGCTCTGGTGATTACAAAAAGTGCCTGATTGCTCTTATTTCCTAATTCGTTATTTATAAACTAAAATTTTTTGCCCTTTAGAATTCGCATTTATTTATTGCATTAATGAAAAAAAAAAAAAAAAAATACGAATCATTGATAACCAATTTTTTGTATTTTTTCAAGCTGAATTATATATATGTGCGTATTTCGAAAACTGTTACACAATATCTTGTGTCTTAATCGAGAATCTAATGTAAAAAACTGCTTGTTGTCATGCAACCAAATTCTTACTGTCTAGTACCATCCGTTTGTAATTACAAAAAACTAAAAAATATTTCAGAACAGATTTTGTGGTGCATGTGTGTATCGAATGTATCAATTAAAAATGTAGTATGAAGTTTGCTGTACATATATTTACTTTAGAATTTGTCATAAAATAATTACTCAGTCACGTGTATCAAAGTAAATCAAAAAAATAAATGTTGGCATGTTTGGTACGTAATTTCGAGCAGCTTCGTATTACATTTTTAATGAAAAGTGCCAATGTCAATATTGTGAATTGGCTGTGTTATGATATATAAACCACTATTTTTTTGATCTTTTTAGATATATAGCTGTTCGGAAAAATCTATTTGTATAATTAGCACTAGAGTTTATAAATAATGTTGAGTTGTACGGAATTACTGAATAAACAATTTTATTGTAGCCTTTGTTTCCACATTTTTATTAATCATTATGTTTATATAGATTTTGAGAATTTTTGAAAATAATCTATTCCATTTAATATGATATTAACAACAATTGGTGTATTATAGTATCCCTGTATTTTGTTAGCAAATGCTGCTGTACACGAACTTAAAGTCTCCTATTTTACTTAAAATTGACGGATTTTCATCCATCAGTGGTTATAATTCTGTTATGTTCAACAAGATATAAATGTAATACTTTGTACGTAAAATAGAAATCTGTCTTATCGACAAAATATGTTTTGTTATTGACACTGTTGTTACATTAGAGAGTCACAAAGATCCCAGTTAAAATATTTTATAAAGTTTCTGTAATGGTCATTTTTTAATTATTTAATCGTTCTTCAAAAACTTCATAAGATTACAGATTCAAGAATACATTATAACTGTTTTTTTATGGTAAAACAATTACTTGTTTTTATAAAGACATTTTTATTCTAGTTTTAGAAGTGTAACGTTAACGCGTTATTTAATTTCCCAATTCGAAATTTACCATGCAGATGTTTTATTTTTTAATTTTTATTTCTTATAAACTTAAAAATAAAATTATATTCAATGACTCTACCAAATCCTCAGATTTATGTGGTCTTACATATAAATATGTATATTTTTATGCGTACAATTATTTTTCTGGTATATATTAGACAACTTATTGTTTCTCATAAAATTTGGTAGAAAATATCTCTTTAGGTCTAGTAGGGCCACAATTAGTATAATCAAGAAATTTTTGTGACACCATAACAAGTAGCTGTAATAGTTATGCAAAATGCTAATATTGAATAATCTATTTCAAGAGTTATAGTATGATATTACTGATAAGTGTGCAATGATAGCAATAATTTTGTTTCAATAGATTAAATAACGTGACGTTGTTTTAAATATTTGTCGATGTATTTTATCGTAGATAAATGGCTTCCGGAGTTTTTTTAAATTAAGATATTTTTTGGTTTTTCTCGTACTTAATAACGCATGTGGCCAACGTTTTATGCTTTTTCTAGTAGAATGCACCGCAGCTCCTATCAAAAAATAAGTTATAATANTTATTGCCATGAGTGAGTATAATGGCTGTAACAAAAAGACGTTTTGAGTTTCTAGAAATAAATTAAATTTCATGTAATGCACCTCTGAAATTACTTTTCCACCTAACCTAAAAATAGCAAAACATTCCTTTTAGTTAAAAGACATATTTTTATACATTAAAAAATCAGTTTTTTTGCTATAGCTTATGTTTTAGATTTATAATATGTGGTCGAGGGAAGTTTTAGAACTTGTTGTTTTACGTTTCTGCAATACACATTTACATCTTAAACGTGATAATATTGTCTAAATAATGATTTACAAAAATGTTGAGAGAACATATGTAATGGAGTGCTAATGTTAATGCATTAAAGTAGTTTAAAATATTTATACGATCATACTTTTTGTTCTAGTAAAAAATTAAGTACCTGTGCCTTAGATGCAAAATTTTAATTTTTTGTAAACATTTAGCTGCTTTTTATAAATAATCGCGGTTGTATAAAAGAACAGTCATACTAACGACTAAGTATTTAATAAGTTAAATCTTTTACTGTTCAAGTTCAAACGAAATCGTGTCTTAAGTTATGGAAACTTTTTCAAACGTGTATACAAATTTGTCAAAAACTTTCATGTGGAATGTAAAAAAGACGGCACCATCTTTTATTTCTTCTTTTCTTACAACACTACTACAAAAAGAAGCTCTACTCAAAATAACGATCTGAAACGTGATTTAAGACTTCGAAAGACTTTTTACACGAACACTACGGTAAAAAAAATCATGAAACTATTTAATTTAATAGTTGTGAGACTGTTTGCACTAACTGGTCAATATTTTTCGTCTTGTGAGCAGAAAATGTTTGTATACTATTAGATTTGATTAAAAAATAGTGCGTGTCTAAAGTATATTCTGCAAAATTTTTTTAAGTACGTATTATTATTTTGTCAAGTAACAAATAGCAAGTTAAAGTCTTATGCGTTCCTTGTGTTGGGAAAACTGATGTTTTTGGGCTTAGTGAATAAAACTATTTTCAAGGTAACACCTTTCAAAAATTTTTTAATCTATCTCCTAAAATTACGTACTATCATCCCTAATTAATTTTTATGAAAACGATTTTTCAACGAATCATCAATTTTTAATGTCACATTCCAAGTGAGTCAAAAACTTAAACCATGATTCATTCGTAAATTGAGATTTCAACTTTTTGTCTGATTAGAACACTGAGATTCAAATTTTTTCTTCAAAAGTGACAACTAATACAATCTTTGTATGAAATAAAATAAAACAATAATTTATCATTCATAACATTATTGAAATTTCGATGTTTAACCTTCCAATTTCTAATTGGACTCATATTAAACATTTTTTTGAGGGTAACTACAATAGTTATGTTTAATTTACATTAAAAATAGTAATTAATAATACAATTTTTGTCAATTACTACCTAATAATGTAATCTCTTAGTGAGTATTGAAGTAATCAAAACTTTTGTGAGATACTGTTACAACACACAGTGCTTAACAATATTTTCCTCCTCTTTTGTAACCATCTCCCTCTCGTCGTATCTGAGGTTCCCCTTCTCTTCCTCTACCGTATATAACTATAAGTATCACAGAACCACTCGCTTGCAAGGTTGACTGACGTGTCTAGAATCGTCACTGAGCTCACTCATTGTGGTATCATTTTTACTTTTCCATCGCAGCAGTTCTTACCTTAACCAGACGCACAACCGAATACTTATACATATAGGAATTTTAAGCCTGTAAGTGACATTTGGTGACATTGGTAAGTGATAACAAATATTACATTCATATTCACAATATATATGTCTGTTCTATACAGTAGCGGTCTTGTAAGGAGTGATTGAGAAAGGCACCGGTTTTTGACTGATGGTTATGTGTGAGTTTTACCTGAAAATAGAAACAAACAAACTATAGAAACGACACGGTGGCAACCGTCTCAATAACTCATTGTATGATCACTATTATTATTTTGTTGTTTTCATGTTGTATCTGGTAAATACGCTACACTCGAACGATAATGCAATCATTTAACTTTTCCTCGGTGGGGGGAATCCCCAGTTACTTCTCTTCTGACGTAATTTTATATTTAGAAAGTGCGTACTTAAATCGGCTGGCACTTTATTCGTCGACAACAAAATTTGAAACTCACTAATCAGAAAGGCTACGTTATGAGACTAACCAATGAAAAAACAATTTTTTCAACTTCGCGGGTCGTGAATAAGGTAGTGGATATAATGTGCCGGGCAAACAAACATACTTACATGACATTACTGTTGACTTGCTGTGTCTCCTTTGTTACAGCTACACATACATCATTTTAAAAGCGTTACTTCAAATAAATAAGAGCTTTTCTGACACAACAATAGATGTGACTAGTTCAGCGGTCATTATCACATGCTTTTTCTCACTTTTGGCATTAAATTTAATAGAAAAGAAGTGTTTTTAAGCAGAATTATTATTTGTCTTTCTTTTGTAGTGATTGCTTTTTCTGACTCCACTTAAAATAAAATTTACTACAATTTTGTATTGAATTTTTTGTGAACAAACGCTTGAAAATAAGGTACAATAAACTACGCCGTTTTTTTTCTAACAGCATTATTGTACTTTATTGTGTGCCTCTTCAATAGCTAGAGAGGTGGTAGTGTTTGAAAATTTTTTTTGTTTTTTTTTTTTACATCTTTTACTGCATAAAAAAATCGTGTTGATTTGTCAGATGAGCCAGAACATCAGTTTCAAGGTAATACAGGCTTTGTTTGATTTTTCTTTTTCCATATTATTTTGCAGGGAACCAAAGACGAGTTCAAAAAACATCAACATGAGTTACGGCTATCAAGTGAGTATTGTTTTTTTTTTTTTTTTTTACGTATTTACATGTCTTGTACAGCACAAATCGTAGTTTCCGTTTGGACTATAAAATATTGCAAACATTATATAACACTCATTTTCGGTCAATGTAACAAAAAAATTTTTAGCATGTGAAATTACTTACTGGTTTTCTTTCGTATAACTAAAAAATTTATCAATAACACAGTTTACCTATTATAGATTTAATTTTAAAAGTAAATAATACAAGAGAATTGTCTATTTTAGTACATTAGTTTTTTTAGTATATTATACTACGCTTATACAGAAAAAGTTTCAGATAAATTTTATAGATGATAAGCTTTATTTTGTTAAATGTATATGAAATAAATTAAGATCAATCCTGGAACAAACTTAAAATTCAACTAATCATATAAAACGTAGATAACGCCCCAGATCTAAAAATATTAAACAAATGTCACTAGTTCTCCAGTAAATATATTTTTGATTTCCTGTTACAGTTGGACACTAATCTGAAACAAAATTATTAATTAATGTAACAAGTATATAATTAATAAGGTAGTTACAGATTGTTGATCAATGAACAAGATTAGAAAACAATCAAACATTTAATTTAACGATACCGGAAGTTATACGCATGTACTAGTGACCCATCTTGTACTAGCAAACAACTTAATATTTAAAAACTACTGTAAAATTAGTATGCATTATGATAATTTTTTTTTTCACCATCTATTACGGTTGTACAAACAGACAACGCCGTCCCAAAGACAAAAGCCACCAATTTCTTTCGGACTTCCTCCAGGAACACCATCAGCTCCTCCAAGTGCTCCACCTTATTCACAAGTTCCTACAGCTTTTGGTATGACTCAAACACCCACACCGTATCCAAACGCTCATCCATCACAACCAACTCCTTACTCCAACGCACCTCAACCTTTTATGCCTCAGCCTTCCATGCCTCAAGCCCATTCAGGTCAAGCTTATTCATCTAACCAACCATACCCATTACCACAGCCACATCAACATCAGCCATATCCATCACAGCCACCTCAACACCAGCCATATCCATCACAGCCACCTCAACACCAACCATATCCAGCACAGCCACCTCAGACTCAATCATCCCTGCCATCTCAGAATCAACCATATTCATCTCAACAATACATGCAAAATCATTGTGGCTTAGCCCAAGGTTTGTATCCAAATTTGGGTACCCCAGGAATATCTGATCCCTCCCGTCCTATGCACGGTAACAGTTTTCCTCACCAGGGTGGAGCCTATTCGGGGGGTCAGGGTAGTGGTGGGAGCTTTAGCTACGGAGGACATGTACCACATATTCCACAGGCCCCTCGAATGGGGCCCCAAACTAAGGTGAGACTTACGTGTTGTAAAAAAACAAGTTATTCCCCAGTAACCACAAATTGCAAAAGAGACTAATGATGAAAACGTAAGAAATGGTGACTATAATTGTGCATGCAATAGTAAAATTTGAGTAATCAAGTATTCATAGCATCTTGATCTATGATGGTAAATGGTGAAAATTATGTTTGTTAAATACATCGTTAAATAATTATTTGTACCACTTTTAAAAAATTTTAAGTTTAAGATTAGTATCCATTACTTTTCTAGACATCTTTGTGTTTATTGGGACGCAATTTCGTGGTACCCAAGCATTTTACACTTCATTTTGATTTTCTTTTATAGCTTTCCCCAACTGTAGTTCCTAATGATCCTNATCGCATTTGAATTCAAAACATTGTATGGCAAGGTAAATGCTTTACCACACCAGATGTTCTTTTGGCGTATGTAAAGTATTATATATATGTATATACACTATGTTTTATAGGATCTGGTTGAAGATTTAAAATCTGAAACATCTGGTAACTTTGAAAATCTGTTGGTTGCAATGATGACGCCTTTACCGGAATATTACGCAAAAGAGTTGCACGATGCCATGAGTGGAATTGGTACCGACGAAAATGTTTTGATCGAAGTGCTGTGTACTATGTCAAACCATGAAATTAACGTCATCAAACAAGCTTATCAAGCTAGTGAGTATTTCGTTATTTAATATTTCACGTTTAAAATTTAAAAATAAAAAAATTAAAAAATGTTTAGAGTATGGGAAGTCCCTGGAGGATGACTTGATCGGAGACACTTCTGGAAATTTTAAGCGTTTAATGGTCTCTCTTTGCTGTGGCAGAAGAGACGAATCGTTTTCAGTTGATCCAATTAGGGCTGCTGAAGATGCAAAACAACTTCTACGAGCTGGTAAAATTATTTCCATAAATATTATAAAATAAATACAAATATAACAATTTTAAATTCATGATAAAATTTTATTAAAGGAGAACTTCGTTTTGGTACTGACGAATCAGTGTTTAACACGATACTCGTCCAAAGAAATATAGCTCAATTACAACTAATTTTTAACGAGTATCAGAACATAACTGGCCATGACATTGAGGAAGCTATCGAGAACGAATTTTCAGGCGATATTAAAAAGGGCTTGCTAGCTATTGGTATACAAATATTTTAAAACTTTTATCTCGTATAACTTGTGCAATGTATTAATTCCATTTTTTATAAATGTTTTTGATGTAGTTAAGTGTGTGAAGAACAGAGCAGGATTTTTCGCTGAATTGCTTTACAAAAGTATGAAAGGCATTGGTACCGATGACAAAAGTCTTATAAGATTGGTCGTTACGAGATCTGAAGTTGATATGGGAGAAATAAAGCAATCTTTTTTGCAGCAGTATAGTAAATCTTTGGAAGAATTCATTAGTGTAAGATATAAAATAATTACTATGAATTGAAGTGCTAAAACAATTTATTCAAATAACTTTGAATTTTTTTTTCTTACAGGGTGATTGCTCAGGTCATTACAAAAAATGTCTTCTTGCCATTATCTCGTAATTAAGAACTTTGTAATGAAAAACATCTCACGTCCTTGGACTTGCATTTATTCGTTTATTTATTTATTGCACTTATTAAAAATTATAAATAAATCTCCAATGTTAATATTTTGTAAAATTTTCTTAGCAAGATCATGTACATTCTAAAAAAGTTAGCAATTTCTTATGTACTATTACATCAAAAATTAAATGTGATATCTAGGGATTTTCTCTAATGATAAATATATCAACTATTTAACATTTATATCTATTGATGAAAAAAAATCAATTAAAATATGTTCTATGTGCAGAATATTTGTGTATAAATGTATCAATCATAAATACAGCACGAAAATAGCTAAGTGCAAATATGTTTTTGATGCACTTTGTTGTAAAAATGTAATTAAAATGACTAGAATCAAATTTTTCGTTTGACTCATAGCCATTTGGTACGTACTTAAAAAAGATTTATGTAGCAATTTTAATTTGAAGTGCCTGTGTTCTGTAACTTTACTGTCCTATAATTTAAAAATAATTATAAAAATAATTATTGCCATGAGTGAGTATAATGGCTGTAACAAAAAGACGTTTTGAGTTTCTAGAAATAAATTAAATTTCATGTAATGCACCTCTGAAATTACTTTTCCACCTAACCTAAAAATAGCAAAACATTCTCAACGTAAAACATAATATAAAACTGTTTTAAGTTTTCAAATATTTTGAAATATATTCTACGCCTACGTGAGGAAAAAGTTTTATTTTATTTTGGATATAAGACAGTAAAAACATTAAATAAACCTGACCTATTCTTGAGAGAAGAAATTAAAAAAAATATTTTCCAATCCATCATTTAAAAAAAATGCTCATTGTTTGAAATTTGCGTATTTATAAGCTTAAAATTTAAAAGGCTTAAACAAAATAAAAGTAATAATATTTGTGTCTGCAAATAAGCTGAGGGATCTATGAATAGGTAGTAATCATATTAACTTTGTATCTGACGATATTTCAACATTTGTACGAAGGAAAGCTATTGTAAACTTTCACTTGGGCACGACTCGTTATATTGTGAGGGTATTTAAAGAAAAAGCATCATAACACTCGAGCTAAAATAATACTTTTAAAATATTTGTGATTAGTGCCAACGTACAAAGCTTGTCCACGCCACAAAACAGTAGCAAATAGAGTCAGTATTTGTTTCGGATTTTGGACAGAAAATTGTAGTTGGTCAAATTCTAATTATCTCTTAACCAAGTGCCACATCATATGATGAACGTTGTTAGTTTAGGCGTTTCATGTTTCTTTCTAATGACTAATAGTAGAATTTATTTATTTAATTTAATTCGTTTCATATCAATCAAAAAGACACGTTTCATCACATAAAGCATTTATACGGGATATTGTCATCAAGTAAGTACAATTATTGAATAACATTGAGTCTTATGTGGAAAACATGAACGATTTTTTTTAACCGATCAAAACGTTTTGTTATTTGTTAGTCAATCATAATAAAATGTTGCACGCTTTGATTTGACTATTTATCTTTTCCATATTAATACGCACTTTGAGTTCTTATTATTTAGTGCCATTAAACCAGTCTATTTTCTTCATGATGTTGTCTTATAGTCTTATATTTTTCAGCTAGCTCAAATTTATTACACTAAATGATAATTACATTGCAATATTTTGGAAATTAAGAATTTTTTACTCATGTGCATCTATTTTTTTTTTCTTTTTCTTTTAACTTTCTTTCACTTTTAGACATAAGAAATGACAGCTCGCCAAGAGATATAATGTTTAAAAAGTAGTAAACAGAAGTCTAATTAAAAGTTCTTCTCTTTGTTTTCCAGTTCTGTATTCATCAAATAAGAAAGGACATGCTGCTCGAAAAACAAATGCTACCAAATTCTAGGGAGCATTCCGCAGTAACACCATCAGCTCCTCCAAGTAATCCACCCTATTTCCAAACTCCTGCTGCCACTCATACGTCCCAACCACATTTTTTATATCCTAACAGTCATGCACCACAATTAGCTCCATGCTTAAAAATATCCCAAACAGTACCACAAGTTGAACCTCAACCTTTAGCACCACAATCACATTTAAATCAAAATTTTTGTTCACTTCAAGCCAGCTTTGGGGTACAAACTTATCCCTTTCATCCATTCGTAAATTCACATGCCTCTACTACAGGCTTGCATTCTAATCAAAGCAATTTTGAAAAATTTGATCCTGCTGGTCCTATGCATGGTAATACCTTTCCTTACCAGAGTGGAGCCTATTCTGGAGGTCCAAACAACAATGGGTATTCTCCTCACGGAGCATCCACATTATACAACCCACAAGTCTCTCAAATGGCTTCTCAAGCTCAAGCTAAGGTGAGTCTTGAATATTATTAACAAAAACATTTAATGCTTTTCAGTTATTGTTAAAAATTTTGGGAACAGTAAACGTAATGGTTAGAGCACAAAATTGATTTTTTGCTAGCGCTGTTTGATCATAATGAACTAAAATTTTATTTTCTGATTATACTGTTAAAATATAAAGTTATAAGTAAATATTAAATTTTGTTGTAACATTTCATTAATTTAAAAGGATTTATATTCATTATCAGAATCAATTCAACTATGGATAAAATATTTATTTGTTCATGAAAATCAAGGATATATTAGTGTTTAAAAATAATTAATATTTTCTTATGTAGTTTTCTCCGATGGTTGTACCTGCAGAGTCTTCCAATTCAAGCGGTGATGCGAATATTCTACTAAAAGCTTTGAAAGGCTCCAAAATCGATGAACAGTCTGTTATCCAAGTACTGGCAAACCGTACTAACTTGCAGCGTTTGGAAATCGCAGAACAATATAAAGTACTAAGTGGCAAGGTACAAAGTTTTAAGTAAAGCTATAAAGATAATTATAGTAACAAAGTAGTTAAAACAATGCACTTTTTATGAGTTTTTGATTCGAATGTTTCAAAAAAAAAAAAAAAAAGCAGAAACTCAACTGATAAACTCATTGTAGTGTAAACGGACAAAAAATGTTTTCAAGTAGTATGTAAAAATTTATTATGTGTATGGTTAAATTGTTCAATCAAATATTTTCTATTTGTATTGAAATACTACGATTCATTATTATAGTTAGGATAAAAAACCAAATTAAATAAGGTATAATATGGTGCTGTTTTTTATTCATACAACATTATTTAGTTTGTTAAATAACTAATTCATATTTAAAAGAGGTGTATCATTTTGTGAGCAATAGCATTAATTTGTTGACAAAATAATACATTCTGAAAAGAAAAGAATTATAAGATAGATAGCTCAAAACTCAAATTTTTTGTAACTAGTCAACTATTTGAGTAGTAATTAATAAAGTAGTTTTAGTACTCATATATTTATATTAGTAAATAAAATATTAAGCTTCCCTAGTATTTAAAATAAGATGTATCCAATAACTTGCAACATTTTATTTACACATGGAAAATAATACGGATGCAGTAAGCTTTGTACATACAATTTTTTTTCCATGGATTATTGAACTGATGGAAGAGATAATACTAACGATACAAAAATAAAAATTGGAAAAATTTGTTTGAAAATCTAACACTATACCTTTTTGTTGAACAATATATAAAGTAGAGTAACAATAGTTCGGTAATACAAACTGCTAATTAGCTTGTAGTGGTTTAATACAATCGTATTTTTTAGGAACTGGCTGAAGTAATTAAATCCAAGATGTCTGGAAAACTTAAAAGGTTATTACTTGCTATGATAATGCCTTTGTCACAATTTTATGCTAAGGAATTATTCAATGCTGTGGATAAAATTTTTTCTGACAAAAGCATACTGGATCAGATACTGGTTGTTTTGTCGAATCAGGAAATTCTCGAGGTCACTCAAGCTTACAAAGATGGTAAGTTTTTTCTTGGTTGATTCTCTTTCATACTCCTTTATCTATGACAAAAAATCATATAATGTCAGAAAGTTTAAGAGTAACAAGATTGAGATTAATTTTTAGTGTATGGAAAGTCGTTAGAAAACGAATTGAATCTGTATTTTCATGGAAACTCCAAGCGTCTAATGGCTTCTATATTGTGTGCCAAAAGAGACGAATCGTTTGAAATAGATCCAGCCAGTGCGGCTGATGATGCCAGAAAACTCCTCCAAGCTGGTTAGATCTTCTTACTTATAGTTAAATCCTAAAAATTCATCACAAAAATTTATGTCATTCTTTCGATCTTTTATTACAGAACTTCGTTCTAACAAGTCAGTGTTTTACGAGATACTCGTTCAAAGGAATTTGGCTCAATTGTCGTTGATTTTTGAGGAGTACCGAAACTCTACTGGCCTTGACATAGAGCAAGGTATTGAAAAAAAATTTTCTGATGATTTTAGGAATATCGAGAGTCGTGTGCACGATCGTCTTAATATTTTACTTGCTATAGGTATACAATTTTAATTTGTTAGTTTAACATACAAAATTATTAAGTTCAATTTTTGTACAACAAAATGTTTTCGATACAGTTAAGCATGCAAAGAATAAAGCTGCATTCTATGCTGAGCTAATTTATAAGAGCAAGAAGGGCTTAGGACTGCTGCTAGAGCAACGTCTCACCAGAATAATCGTAACACGGTCTGGAATCGATATGGGAGAAATAAAGCAAGCATTTATACAACAGTATGGAAAGACCTTGGAGGCCTTTATCTCTGTAAGTAATTGGCAAAACATTATTAAGTACTTTGAGGAGCATAAAAATAAGTAACTAAACTAATTGATTGAACGATAATAAATTTTTTTTCGCAGGATAATTTTTCTGGCAATTATAAAAAATGTCTACTAACCCTTACCTCTCAATAAAGTATTGTTAAACTGAAAGTTAACTTGTTAATCTTAATTTTACTTATTGCAAAAAATTATGAAGCAAACCAAAACATTTTGTATTATTTTTATTTATAATTTAAAAAAAAAGGAAAGAGCCATCAAATGAAAGTAGTAATAAATTTCGTAACTTACATAGTGCGACATCTTTACCCCGCCAAGTGCAACGCCCGATGATACTTCGTGATTTCCTCCGTTGGTATACGCACCAGTTACGAAAAGTATTTTTCCTAAGGGTGGTAAAACTAAGATTTGTTCAACAAATTAAATTAAATTTATGTGTTCGTAATAATTTTATGTATCTCAGAGAAAGTTTGAATTATTTTTGAAAAACAGCGTTGGTAAAAATATTGAGAGTTTACAGTCTTATCATCAATCGGTTTATTTGTATCCTTCAAGGACAAGTGTTTCACTATTCTTCTATATCAGCTTAAAAGCAACCAAGAGATACCACAAGTATTATAATTATTGAGGGGTAAGTGTACCTATCTCCGTGGCACGTACTGAAAATTCCAACTTAAATGCACCATAAAAAATGGTATACTAAAATTTTTTGGAATACTTTTTTTTTTAAATCTTACATAATCTCTTACGGAATATTAAAAAAAATTTTATGAAGCTAAAACTTCAGTAGAATATTTTTAAAACGAATAAAAACGGTATGCTGGTATTACCGTGGTTGTGTACCTATTACCGTGTACGTATTACCGCGGATAAGTATAAGGTTATGTTTACGTACGCTCACCGCGGAAATACGTACACAATCAGTTAATGAGCGCGTTGTACCGAATACCGTGGAAAATAATTATTTACTCAAAATATACACAAATATTTCTGTTTGAATTGCATCTACATTAACGTCATTTTAGATTATTAAAATTGAAAAATTATTTTATATGAAACATTTCTTATTTTGAGCAAGTAATCATCAGTTTTTCAAAATCCACGGTAATAGGGCAGAGCACGGAGATAGGTACACTTACCCCTATTTGATTGATTGCCTATATAGGATTGATCGAGTAATCTTTAAAAGAAAATCAGTTTTAATACATAATAAACAATTTTTTTTTTATTAAGGTAGCAGTTACACTCAATGCATTTTTAATGATAGCAAATAATTTTTTAGGAAGCGTCTTTATCAATTTCTACAATTTTTTAAAAGACAAAATACTACAAATGCCATACAACGTCAATGAATTCCAATATACAATCTGATTATTATTCTTGTTATTATTATTTTTTTTGTTTTGTTTAATATTAAATGTCATTAAAAATAGGCTAAAATTGATGAAAAAAAAACTTAAAACTATTAAAAATCTAAAACAAAAGAAAATTAAGGATAAAGGAAAGGGATGGAGTAAGACTGACGACACGAAGGAGAAGTGTGAGAAGGACAATGGCAAGGAGAAGGAGAAGAATGAGTGAATGGAAACCAGACTCTCTCAACTAAACATCTTAACTACCAATTAATTTGCCAGAATTAATATAATCCACCGCAATATAAGCAAACGAGTCCTGTAATACTTACGTACTCAAGAGACTTCCATTTACTTTTACTGGTATTGAAATATTGGTGATGAATGATTGTTAATACATTATTATTATAAGGATTTTACACGTAAGCAAAAAAATTTGATTTAAGAGAAGAATAACTTGTGAGAGTGAAGACTCTTACTACGTACTAAAAAAAGAATTTTTCATTTTAATCACACTGTTGTGTTTTCTCCTTGTAAACTGTGAGCTATACCAAGTAACAACGTACCATATTCGAAAATCAAATCATGATAATACATTCGAGTCTTCCATCTGATTTCTCACAGGGTACCGACAGCCAACAGCCCCCAGCAGATACGAGTCACTGTTTCCGTGTTCACCTACATCCACACCTACATAATCAGCCAAGAATACACGAAGCACCCGCGTAGAGTGTACACGTATAGACGTACTTTTAAGGGAAAGTCAGTGGAAGGGGACGGAGGAAGGGACCCTCGGCTCATTGAAGATATAGTGTATATTAAAAGACATTTCGCTGGAGGAAGAGGTGGCTGAATCTCCCCCAAGGGGAAAGCTCCTGCGAGCGGCCCGATCATACGAATGGCCACATTTTCGCGCTCCTGGGATTCAGAAAGCTCCTCTCTTTTTCTCTCCCTCGGTCTACTCTCCTCTCTGCCATCGGCGCTTTGACACCGATATCATGGCCACGATATTTAAAGGCTCCTGTCTTCTCCTCGCTCTCTCTTCCCTCCCTTTTATACCTCGCGATCATCGCACTTTTCTAACTGATCCCTTATAACGCTGGCTTTTTTCCCCTGCTCTCTTCTTCTTCCTCTTCTTCGTCTTCCTTTTTTCCCCTAGAGCTCTTTTTTCCCCTTTTTTTTCTCTCGAAACTTTGATTTATCGAGATTACTTGACTAAAGTATGTATGGGCTTCAGGTAATTTGCGCAAGCTCAGTAGCTTTTTGTTATGCCATGCAAGAGCTTATTTTGCGGAAAGGGGCCAATTGACTGTGAGAAGTTAACTTGTTACTTGTAAATTCTACAATACACAATAACTTGATAATTTCAATGTAAATGATGATTCCGTCGAACGGTACGTTTATTACGAACGTCAATTGATAAGAACAGTGTTTTTCGCGCGTCGTGGGTCAAATTTCGTGTAACATCATCATAAAAGATGTTAAATAGTTGTAAGGAAATTATTAGCTTAGCAAGGTGCCTCAGGTTAACTTGGGAAGTGTTCCTTATTAAAGTTACCATTAATAAAAGACATTAGTGTGTTGTTCATCGCCACAATCTGCTTGCCATTCGTGGAAAGTATGTCTAACTTTGTCGAGTAAGGAAGCTTTATCTAACTCACGTGTAAAGTATCTTTAGTGCTTCAAGGTGGTTATTTACAAAGTTAAGTCTTTATAATACTACGAGTATGTTTGAATTTTTTTTAGTTTTTTTAACCTGATATTTTTTGAAATGTAGTAGTTAGAAATTTTGGAAAATGTGAGCTTTTATGGAGGTATCGCAAATTTTGATACTTCTCGGTAAATATCTTTTTAATGGGATACAGAAGAATGCAAGATAAACTTTGGCACAAGTATCAAGACAATAACACCAAGTACATAAAAAAAAAAATCGTCAACCTTATAGTTTTTATTTAAAATAATTTTAGTAACATAAAGTTTAGTATCAAATCACCACTTTATTAGCTATGGCAACGTATCAAACATAGCTAGTAGTTCTTGGAACCGTAAACTATAAACATACCAGGTATGTCCTCCTTATATTGCAAAGCCTGCATATATTTGATGATAATTTTATCTCTCGAAAATATATATATCTCTCTCTCTCTCTCTCTCTCTTTTTTCTCTTTCTTTTACTGTGACATTCAATTTTTTAACTATTTTTTTCAATTTTTTATACGTATATTACATACTGGATGCAAAGACAAGACAATTGTATAACGATTTCCTACATCAGTTATCTGATTATGGTAGTTTTTCTTATTGTTAATGGCTGTAGTAGGACCAAAAATCAATTGTCAAGTTGATTAACTGTCTTAACGTAGAAATAATCTTAGCAACAAAATTTATCTGATTTTGTTGCTAAGATTATTTCTACGTTATTTCTACGCTATTTCTGATAATATAAAGAAGTTTTGAAAGTATTTATGAAATTTAATTTTATGTAGCTTATTTGGCAGTCGTAATTAACACAACAATTTTCAACAAAGAGCAAATTCTAAGTTGCACAGAGTCGCTGGCCCAATAAGCTCTCAACAGCCCCGTAACGTATAGGCCACGGTAACTATTTCATTTTCAAAGAATTATTCATTTCCCATCGAATGCCAAATATTCCAATTTACAAGTTCATTTGGCACAATGCACGCCAACACATCCGAAACTCTGGCATTCCCAAAACTCGTGCAAGCTCCGTAATTCGGAAATCCAAATTTCGCCATTATTGCCTCTCTCGCTTCAAGTCTACCTTCCTTTCATTTACAAGCTCTCTCTATCTCTCTCTCCCACACCCTCTGAATACTCCAAAACAAACAATGTGCAACAACTATCGAGACATGTACATAATATGGTGTGGGCCTAGTCAGTCGGGCTAGAGGAGAAGGAGGCATACTCTCCATGGAGGATGAGCTAGGACTTTAGTACGTGTGTATGCACCCACATACACAGGGAGAAAAAGATAGAAAGAGAGAGACAAAGGCCACATCTATGTGTAACGACGTGTAGATTGTAGCCGGCTTGTACATGTGCACGAGTGGAAGAGGGACACACTCGTCGTTGGTTACCGTGGTGCCTCTCTCTCTCTCTCTGTTTTCACATCCCCCGAGCTACCTATACCTACGCACATTGCGCACCAGCAGTGCCAGCGGCTGGGGAGAGTCAGGACTTCGCGCGCGGGGTAGTGCAGTTCCGTGTTGGCATTATTCTTGATTTTCAGGCTGACGTTCCAAGCTGCTTCTCTCTCTCTCTAGCTCTCTTTCTTCTTTGGTATAGCTTTCTCTAGCTTGTTGGAGTACGTATTGGCTGGCTAAGCTACATCTTTTCTTCTACCCTTGTTTCACTTCCTCTTGATCTTTTCTTCGCGTCTGTGTATGGTTGTTGGCCTTCACTGGTGTACTTTTTTTTATACATGTTCTTTTCATTGTTTTGGTTTCACTCGTGGTATTTATTTATTCACTTGTTTATTTCGAGTCACAGGATCTATACAGTTATCGCAGAAAATAATGAAAAATAGAGGTTTATTTGAGGAATTCGGATGAAAAGTAGCGGGAAAAAATTAGTTTAATGGAAATAAAATTCAATTTAAAGTAATTAGTATACCTCATACTGAAAAATTAACAAGAGAGACTAAGAATATCAAAGTAAGTCTCGTTTAAATTCTTCAAGTTACTTACATTTCGTGGACTTTCTACCTCTACCAGCCGAGAATAAAGTCAGAAATCCCAAAATTTCATAATTACATTATAGTTA